CCCCCCTTCCCCTCCTCCCAAGCTGTGCGTCTGTCCCTTGCCCCCACCTCCCTGGGCAGTGCCTGTCCCCTCCCTCCCTCACTGCAGGGGGCATTGATCTACGCTCCCATGCCCCTTCCCTCCCCCCTCCACTTCCACCACACCGGACTTACCAGCTGGAGGCAGCTGTACTGGCTTGGTATCAGCTGATATGCCTTCTTAAATATCAGTCCCCAAAATCTCTATCAGTGCACCCCTGCCAGTAACATATCCCTGTAATATCTGAAAAGTCTTACAAAGATTGTTCACTTGCTGGTGAGGTGATGCGGGTGAGCAAATCAGAGGCCATCATGATTATTATCTTCTCCCTCACTCCTCCCTACCCTGTTCGCTATAAGAGGCAGATTTTTTTTCTCTAGCGTGTCTGGCCAGATCTGGGATTTATTTATTTATTTTAAAATCTTAACACTTCTCTTCCTTCTATCAAAGGACTTGGGGCCAGATCCAAAAGAAAAATGATTCCCTGCTGAAATCACCAGGAGTTTAAGTGCTTAAATACCTTTCTGAATCTGGCCTCTCTTTTTAAAGCCACCTTTCTTTTTTTTAAATGAAGAATCATAGGGAGGAGACAAGTGTTAGGGGAACAGTTGTCACAAACACCTGTGGAGAGGGCAGGGCAAGGTATTTGTTGGCAACATGAGCCTAGATAGGTGTCAATGGCAGAGAATTCCACGCTTTGACCTAAGGTAATGGCAGGGATTCAGAAAAGGTCCTGTGAAATCTGTGAACATAAGCACTGCATAATCAGAGCTTTGCATTTGCAGGGATTCTTGACCAAGGAGAGGGAGTCCTGATTATCTTTGATGAGCCACCAGTAGACAAAACTTATGAAGCTGCCCTTGAGACTATTCAGAATATGAGCAAAGTAGTGGATTCACTCTACAACAAAGCCAAGAAGCTAACATAGGTGAGTGGATGCAAGAAACCAAGCACACAGCCACTCTGCCACTCCGGTCGCTTTAGCCAAGGTACAGCGCGGGCTGTGGTTATTCTCCTTTTCCCCTTGATTGATGTGGCTCTGTTTTCTCTTACAGAGCTGAACTTGGTAGCTGTCATATGGAGAGTGTGTGTGACAGGAGAGTGAAACCTTTGGGAAAATGCTAGGAGACTTTTTCTTTGTTCTACTTTTCGCTCGGAAAGTTTTTAAACTTCCTCATCCAGTGCATCTTGTATTCCATACGATGCGTGTTCCAGTTTCCATGTAACCTTTATTGGCCGAACTTTGTATCGGGGGGAATATTGTTTAAACAATGAGGGTATTCTAAATAAAAGGAAAAAGGCTTACACTACCTAAACATGTGCTTTCCACTTCCTGTGGGATGTCAGAGTAAAGCAGGGACAAGGCTTTGTTACCAACAGGTGCCCAACTGCTAAGAAAACAGTTTTTTCATCTCTTCCTCTACTCTGAAACCCAGACCCGCTGATGGTATATAGACAGTATAGCTTTTTTCCATTTGTACCTAACCAGAAAACCCTAATGAATGGACTGCTGGTTTATTTTTTAAATCTTTAATATAACCACTAGTCAGCTCCCCAGTGACTCTTTCCTTGAAGTCTTTTGCATATGGGGAGATCCCACTTCAGAACTAACAGTGTGCTATACTAGCCCAAATTTAATTCAAAGAGTAGAGATAACTGCAGTAACTGACAGTAAGCCAGTTTCTACCAAAGGGAACAGCACAGGTTTCCCTGGAGACCTGCAATGCATGCTATTGTTTTAAAATAGACTAGGTTCTAAATGTTTTAACCTTTCGCACCCTTGCCGCCCCCTCACCTCCCCCCGACATTGTCAGGAAGAACAGATGAGCAGGTATTTCCCGAAGTGTTCACCTCCCTCTGAGCGCCAAACGTATTGTCCAAGTGGGTAGGCAGTCTTTTGCCCTGTGCACTGATCAGATTGTCATGACTTACCTCTGCTGTACAGTGTTTCC